CTTCTTTGCTGGTCACTGTGCGGCGTGATTATTAGTTTGAGGCAGTTGCTAGCACAGACTGAATTAACGCTATTTTTTTTCCTTTATTTCAATAAATTTGTCGTTTCACGTGCTTAATTTACCAAAAGCTTGGAATGCTTTTTGATTTGTTTTCGACGTATTTCCACCTTCTGGTTGTTGTTTGATTTTTTCAAAAATGCTATTACTTAAGCTACAGACGAATAACTTTATTTGTTTCGTAAATAAGCACTGTCGTGAAAATACTACAGTAGGCTCCAAAGTCCACATTCCCCGCATAACTTGTTGAAAAATTTGACTTGGAATTGAACTTTTGATGGCTACAGTTAGTTTGTACTAGGTGAATGAGTCCAATCCGATTTTGGCTGAAGTGCTGGCAATCAAAAGCGACCTTGAGGAATCTGCCGACACTGCTGATCTAGTGCAAGGTATGCTGTGAATTTTTTGAAGTGTTTTGTACAGTTCGTAATCTTACATTTGGTTGTTCGTAGTCCTCTTGTTTTGCTTTTTTACTGCGCTTTTAATAGTGCTGCAAAAATTTTAGGCGAGAAATCGAGCGTGAATTCGGTATTGCATAGGCAAATAACACGCTTGCCAAACATGTCGAGTGGCGATGCAGCTCGATTAATGAGATGCAGAAAAGTGAAGTGCTTATTGGATGTGGTTAATGCAGATGCTGAGGGTCTTGCAGAAATTATGGGCAGCAAAGAGCAGGCAACTTCTCTGTTCCGGTTCTTTAACGCTGATTTCAAAATGAAAGCTCTGATGTCCTAATTTTTTGAGGAAAAGGATATCTTGATCGGCTGTTATTTCATTATTACATTTTCCTTTGATTTTGGGTTTTGCATGGACATCAGTTTGTTCCTCCCATCGTAATACTGGCCTCTTCGCTGAACGTTTAGCACTGCCCATTCTCTGTTTCTCATTCTTGCCCCATGGCCAGTATGTGCCTCAGTAGGGCAAGCTCGAAAATTGTTGTTATCAAACACAGGGTTACTCTGAAGTCTTTGCACTGCTGTGATCGATGGTGCTTGAAGCTGAAGAGTACCGTGAAAAACTTATCAGAAATTTTGTTTCCTGCTTTAGCGGAATATTTCAATTGGTGCCATCCTATTCCAAGTACGGTCTGTAAAATCGATCGTTTTCATTTTGCCGCGTGGCAGCGACCTTATATTTTACACTTGGTTGGAATTCAGTATTTTTTGTAGTCCCTCATACGCTATTCATGCAGTCAGCTGAACTGCCGATCTCGTGTTTTTGGCCTTAGCAGTTTTAGAATATATCATTCATTCAGTCTTGCTGCACTGGTAAAGGCATTAGTCTTAGGCATACCTATATAATTTGAATTCGCCAATGCAAAAACGGTCCGTTTACAAACCAGTAACTCGTTTTGACAATGAATTGGTAATGGTCTTGTGTAAGAGGCAGAACAGTCTTTAGCCTTCTCGACTTTCGTTGGAAGAGATTATATCGGTGTCCCGGTTACTGAGACAAAGTGTTGTTGATTGGGGAACTCCCGAATGTCACGGTCCCTCTTACAAGAGACTGAAATATGGAAAAAGTCTTTAATTTGGTTTGTAATTATCTTGTATTTTTCAACCATCTTTTTTATGAAACGTTTTTATGCGTTCTTTGCATCTATGTAATACAAAGACGCATATTGTCGAAGGGTTGCCTGTATGTGTGTGTGTGTCTGCTTGTGTACCGATCTGTACCGATTTTTCATCTCGAAACTTACAAAAGCTGCAAGATTGAAACTTTGGGACCTCAATC